AGGTATGCCTTCTTGAAGGTCTTTCTGAGGGAACGTTCTCGTATGTACGTTGCAAATGGGGGGAAACCACGGAAATGCTCATGTAACCAGTCCGTTCCAGAATTGAACCCAGGTCGAAACTACCAGTATTCAGGGATTTTACCGATTTTTATCGCTTTGGGCCAAGAAGCTATAGATTGCAACCACAGAGTGTATTCGCTCTTATAGATATCTTTCAATGAAATTAGTTCCCTTATTACCCGAATTTCTTAAAGTGAAGTATTTATCCTATTTCTCTAAACCGAAGGCTTTAACCGATAAGTGATGAAATACAGGGAAACCACGGAGAAAAATGATAAGGAGTCAATGCTTCTCAAAACCGGCCACTTTCTTTTATAATCAAACTTTTGTTTTCCTTCAGAGGCAAATATACAGCAAGTTTTATAAGAAAAACAAGTGATCTCAAGTGCATAACAGGCATTTGTATTTAAAATCAATCGTCGTGTATGCCTTAGGGAAAAACTAGTAGGTTTTCTCATTGACTTGAAATTAAATTAAACGTTTTAAGTTTTATTTAACGCCCATTCAAGCGATGTAGGCAAAGTTTTAAAAGAAAATGACTAGACCAAGAATAGTCAATTTCTTTCAAAATTTAATTGTATTAAATTCAAAAATCGAGTAAATTTCAATAAAAAGTTATACGAAACATAAATCTTAAAAAGTGAAAAATTTGCTATCCAGAAAAATAATTTTTCTAAAAACTCTGAAATTTATTGCTTTTTTCTAAATTATTCTTTAACGTTCAATGGTAAACAAATGTTGCTGTTTTTGTTGTTGTTACCAATCCCACTTGTCTGACAAAGGTCAGCACAAGGCCTAGACATTCATCGTGGCAGAGAGCCAAATGCGCATATCGTTGGTAAGAGCCTTCAGCAGCACATAAGCGACACTCTGTTTAGACTTTAACTCAGTTCCGTTCCCAGGTTTGAGAGATGGTGAATCAGTCTGTAGGTCTTCCACCCCCTTTCCCATACCATTAATCTCTCAAGAGGACTTTTTGGCTAGCCGCATATTTAAAGTACCCTATGCAAGACAGACACTGTAGATTTACAAACATCCATGACTTCTCCGGGATTTGAACCCTAACCCTTCAGTACGGCAGTCAGAGTCATTAACCACTACCCCGGTTGAGCGGCAAAGTTAACAAATATACATTTCCACCAGCAACGTATAAAGCCAATGCATATCTCTGCATTATTCTTGAATTTAAAACCTGCGTTAATAGATATAAGCACCTAGAAATTCTCTGAACACTTTTCAGTGGCAAGCAGATAAGGAAATAATTTATGGCTTGATTATAGACTATTAAAAATAGAACCATTTTATTATGGTTGCGTATCTATGCAGGAATTAACTTACAGCAGAATATAGTCATCAAGACTCAAAATATCCGGAAACTCAGTTATCAGGATCGTTTTTTCTATCTAGGCCATGGAAAATTTAGCTCGTGGTTAAATCCACATATGTTTTAAATTTTTCTTTGATTTAAGTAACGCAAAATGGTTTATTACTGCAAAGAATAGTAGAGCTATCTTATTAAGGGAAGGGCCGCCTTCGTGGTGAACTTTCTAAGGTAAACTGACTCGTATACACTTTACACATGCGGAAAACCACGAAAACGCGCATGGTCCGTTCGCAGGATTCGAACCTCGCGACCGAACTACCAGTATTTTCATTAACGCAAAATGATAAAACAGAATATGATTTAAAAATTTTATTTTTTAAACTAAATTACGGGAAGCGTTTCGACATTCAGATAGGCATAAAATTTTCGAAAAATACAGAGCCCATAAATGTTAACAGAAATGTATTGACGTAGTATGTGCATACCAGCAGTTCTCTTAGCATTCTCTGAAACACTGGTAAGTGCTCTTTTTCTAAAAATGTATTAAACAAATGATGTATGCTACGAGAGTTAGCTCTAGATGAAAGAAATTTCTGTCTCACCACATATAGCATTTTTTTCGTTTGCGTAGTTATAAGTACGTGTCTGGCTTGAAGCCAATGAAACAAAAAAAAAAGAAGTATTAAGTTTTTTTTTAAAGTATCCCTATTTTTTCTACTGAGAAAAGAAAAGTATAGAATACGAGTTAGTTTAGCTATTTAAACTTTTACTGCACTTCAGTGTTTTACTTTTCTGCAATGAAGAATAAAACTGACATGTAAAAATGCGTGTCCTGTGCTAAAACTATATATTTACAAAATTAATCTTTCCAGATAAAAACTCGTTTCAAAATTTGACAGCCATCCCGAAATATGACTTTTATAGTATTGCTTTAGTAATTACATAATGCTTTTACTTTCCTCACAAAATATTTTGTGCTACAGAACATAACATTGAAAAAACGTCCAGGTAAAAATTCATATAAATGCGAACAACAAAAAATGCAGATTCGTGGTTTGAGGACAATATTAGTATTGTTACTCATATGATGCATAGCTTTGAAGCGTATCATTTAAAGATCCCTAAGTTTCCTAAATTCAAAATGTGATGCTATGCTTTCAACAGAATTCTAGCAACGGACTTTCTGTTTTTTAAATAGATGTGCTAACTAATTATTTCACCACGAGAACATGTACGAGTAATGCAAAAATTCCTTACATTCTCTCCCACTTAAAAGAAGATTAAAAAGCACCAGATATAATCGATCAAATTAAGATAGTTACGAATTATTTATTGCCTACTACATTTTTTAATTCAGTATCACTGTAGAGATTCAAAAGATTTTAGGGTGCAGGAAACAGGGAAAATCAGTTGTGCCTTTTTCGAAACTCGAAACACAAATTCTTTCAATTCATTATATGGTTTTGAAAGGCACTTAGCTCGAAACACAGATTCTTTCCATTCATTACATGGTTTTGGTAACCTATTATATCGCAAAAGCACGTCCGGTGGAATAAGATAATTCCTTACAATCATACTGGAATACACGCTTCTACTTTAACGTTCTATCTTAAATAAATAGGATAGATAAGATTTAATAAGATAAATTAAACAGATTCCAGACCTCCTGCCATTTCTAGAAGCACTGAAAAAATACAGTTTTCGGTATCTATCATAGATTATCAGTCGCATCGTTTTGAATAGCTTGAATTATCTGAAAATACCGATTCCACGGGCTTGTTGACAGAGAAAAACAAGAGAGGAAAAAGGCTGAGAAATCTGGCAGATGCGGAAGAAACAGCATGATAGAGATTTATTTCTAATAAAAGAAACACAGGTTTTTTTCGTTCAAACACTCTTTATTCCAAATTCTACTGCTCGGAAAGAGATGTTTGTGCCTTCACAAAAACCGCTGCCGAATGAGCAAAAAATGCTTTCATTTTGTTTGCACTACAGCGCAAACTGCATCGTCTTGGTTGATATTGCAAATTTCATATACACGACATTTCATATACATGATCACGATTGTTTTGGACCTAGAATTATAACAATTGAACATTAAAATAAGATCATTTATCCCATAATACATTCTTTTAATTGTATTCGAGTTGCGATTACAAAAAGCATTCGCATCCAATTAAAAACGCTTTTAAAATACTTTTCTAAACCGAATGAATAACCTTGAAATACCAAGCTCTTGGCACGATAAGCAATTAAGAAAAGACATATTAGAAATAAATCTATGCTTCTTTATTAATGGTATTTTCGTTTTTGTCTCTATATTAATTAGAAATCATAATAAACTAGCTGGCCCTGACATTTGAAGATGATTTTGCATCTCTGCGGGGATCCAAATTGTTCTCACTTTAAATGCTGTCAACGGCGCCTGGTGCAACGTTGAATTAATGGAATCCTTTTCATTCGGAGATTAACAAAATAATATGCTTCAAAGGATTTTATTTCACTCTCTGCACTGCGATATAATGTTCAACCCTAACACCTAATTTGGTAATTAAGGATGTGCTTGTTTAGTAGAATTTCAGTTTAACAATGCCACATTGCATTAAGTTGGATACTCTGGTATCGTATTAGATTATTTGAAATAAATTGCGAATAATGAGAAAATGAATATGTAATTATGTATTTAATATGAATACTCCTTTGTTGACCATTTTTCTAAAAATCGTGGGCATTCTGATATTTTTTCTTCCATTCACTCGCATACTATACGCTAGATTGTATTCAAAGTAATTACTGAACATTAACACAATTGGATAATATTATTAAAATAAGCAATGGAAATTGTGAAACCCTTATCTCACATTTACAACAAATATTCACAAGCAAGGCAAATAATACAGACGAAATACCTTTTGATTGCAGATCTGGGAAATGGAATTTATTATCCAGTGTTAAACAAAAGAATAGTATTTAATATTCACTATCTCTTTTAAGTAGAGCAATGAATTACCACCAAATTTAATGTACAACATGTTATCTTGGATAAAATGACGCTAGTGGTAATAATTACATAATGTTATCTTAGGTAGCTTTAAAATATTCTTCTTCCTTGTTATAGCAATGCGTTGAAATGTAAAAAAAAAAAGCAAAAGCAAGATGGGTTTATAATGACTTGAGACATTAGAGACACATGAGAGATATTTGCACATACCCATACTTGGTTTTAACTTTTTGCCGTACAACATTTTGAAGGAGGAAAATAAATTCTGCTTGACGGTATTCTAGGACTGATGCTTTTTACGTACCATCTATTGCAACAAATGTTTCAAACTGCTGTCACGACAACAGACTCCATTTAATAAAATTTAATACTATTTATGCTTAAATATAAGACAGAAAGAACTTCATTTCCATTATTTCTTTAGTTTTATTGCATTAAAAGCGTTAAGACACAAACTATTAAAAAATAATTTATTTATTTTTCCGATTAAGATACTTCGGAAATTTTTATTCTTATATATAATCAATTGAATACAAATAAGTTCTTAACTTTTCAAATTTAGCAATTAGCATTTAAACACACATGCATAAAAAAGAAAGGAAAAAAAGAATATACAATATCTCCTCCTTTTAAAAGAGACTTTCAATGAAACGCTTCATAAAACGGAGAAACAACTTCCATAATATTAGATAAGAAAAGACTCTGAGCATCCCGTCGTCTTCAAAAAACACCTAAAACATCATACCAAATAAGATATAAAATTTAAATTAGCAGTAAAAATAAGATTGATATAACAAATGCACATCTAATATAACTCAAAATATTAAACGTCGTGCAGTTATATTTCCCAATATTACTGGAAAGTCCACGCAATGATAGCTGAGTAATCCAAAATGTGTGAAATGAAAAATATCATTAAAAACTATGGTAAGTGACTAGAACTTTCTGAAAGCAAAGTGAAATATTTCAACAACTTACCAGTATGAGAGAGTTTATGAAGAAAAAAACTCATTTTAAAGCATAATCATGTTATTTCAATCAATCAGTAGTCTCACCTTGTTTTTTTTTTTTTTTTTTTTTTTTTTTTTTTTTTGTTTGTTTTTTCCTGTGTGCTTACATTTCACAGTAGGATCGTCAAAATAGAGTGCGCAGCTTTAATCAAATTCTGACTTCTGTGAAAATGGTCGCGTTACGGAATATAACTAGCAGACATATTTATTATCATTATTTATCGATATTCTCAGAAATAACATCCTTTTAAGAGGCTGATCGCTATAGTTTCACTATGTATGTAACCGGAATATACGTTGTGCTGTTGTAACTGTGGCTGTGTCTTCGGTGCGCCCATTTCTAATCATTGCAATTCAAACCATCAAACAGCTTCTGTGGAAACGGTATTTTTCATGAAAGAGGGAAGGCAAGTTATACCTTCTTCGTTTCGAAAAGGAGTCGTTAATTGCAAGAGTGTTAAGGCTAGGTGAGGATGGAGTTCTATGGGAACAACACCACTTTGCTGAAGACTTTGAAAAACACAAGCCGCAAGGACATCCGGCTGAAACACATCTAAAAAAGTGTATTCTAGGCCACTATGTGACACCAAAAGATAACCACACAGCTATATTTACAGATGGCTCAAAAACTGAGACGGGTACTGGCAGTGCCTTCTGCGTTCTAAAAGGTAATACAGCTGTGTATAAATGGAAAAGAAGACTTGGCAGTAGGAACTCAGTATTCCAAGCTGAGCTGGCAGCACTTAAAGCAGCAATTAATTATGTGAAGAGGAACAGACTTATCCACATTACTATTTACAGTGATTCTGCCTCTAGCCTTGACGCAATCAAAGGTTACAAAAGTAGAAGCCAGTATGTCCAAGAAATTAGAAAAATCCTCCTCAGTCTTCTACCATCAGAAAGGCCATGCCTCACGTGGGTTCCGGCTCACGTGGGCATTAAAGGCAATGCGGAGGAAGCAGACACCCTGGCAAAAGAAGCGGCAAAGGAGGTCTCAAGAACAGAACTGCCAGATAAATTACCTAGGTCTCATCTCAAAAAGATCACTCTAAAACAACTGATAGACAGATGGCAAGCCAGATGGGACACAGCAGATACAGGAAGGAGAACGTATATGTTCTTCCCAAAAACAACGCTAGAGTTAAACTGCAATAGTGGTAGTCAGACACAGTTTTATACAGGTCATGGCCCATTCCTGACCTATCTGCATAGATTCAGCCTGAGTGACACAGAAAGATGTCAATGTGGAGAGGTGGGGGATCCAGACCACTACGTCTTCCACTGCACAAACACGGCACAGTACCATATAAGAAAGCCAAATCAAGCTTACTGGCCACAATGGGCGGCAAATATGAGAACAAACAAAACAGCAAATAAAAAGCTACAAGCGGTAATCAGCCATTGTCAGAGAAAGTATTCTCTAACACGACGATAAGTGTCCCCAAATAGAAATAATCAAGTGCTTAGCGCTCTGAATCATAAAATGTATAAATCACACTAAATCAATCTGGGCACACACCTCGAACCTCTCAACCCAAGACTAACTTAGATAATTAGGACTATGGCAACAACCTGCCTATATTCTTTATAATGTTTACTTTTGCAATTAATGTACAGGTCTAGGACTCGCAAGACCAGATCGAGCCAGTAAAATCTTCAACAGCAATGAGTTTTTCCTACACTTACTAATCGTGTATTTAAATTACAAGTTTGTGATAAATAGGTTCAAGAAGGGCAAGGTCAACTTATGTTATCACCTCAAGTTTATGAATGATATTATTATTTGTATGGCATTTTTGCCTTCTTAATTTTAATAAATATTCAACTTTTTATGCAAATTTTAGGGAAGAAATATCTGTATTTATGTGATCAATTGCATGTTTGAATCTCTTCCCTAGTGATCAGCATTACGTGCTTAATTATGTTTTGTATAAATTATGTGCATGTTCTAAGGTGATAAAACTAACTATGGAATTAATGTAGGTAAGTTTATCTTTGTAATTATGTAACAGCATTATGTATTCAAGTGTTTGGAATCAGATATCAGCTTTACTGAGTATGGTGCTGTACTTTTCTGTTTATGTTCACTTTAAAGTACTCAAGTCTGTATTTATTCCTTCTCTGCATGTACTATGAAGGCAAGTTCGTACTTGGCTAGGATTTAGACTTGTAGGGTTTATATTTATTTTAACTAACATTTATTTTAAGTTTAAACTATCTTTCCTGTCAAGCCTTACTTTCCCCTGGAACTGCCAATGCCAAACTATGTAAATTTTAGTAGAACGCGCAAGGATTCAAATTATCAGCGGAAGTATTCTGATTTAAATAGAAAGGAAACGAATTCGAGTGTGTGATATTCTTACTTCACGAGCGCGGAGGTAGTTAGCCAGATTTTGAAGAACCCCGCGTTTCGGCCTGTGTTCTTGCCTGGAAGTATTGTTAATCGTTCAACGTGATCTTCAAGTTTGCTGAATTAGCAGCGGTATTGTAAAACGCGGTGAGATTAGTTACTTTTAGAGAGCCTCGTAGTTAGAGTCTTGTCTTTAGTTTCTTTTCAGGTTATTATTTTTATTTGACCGCCGAGTTGGCGCAGTTTGTGAGCGTCAAGAGCACGCACTTGTACTTTATTACGTTGAATAAAAAGGGACTTAAACCCTTAACAAGACTCTGTCTTTTATCCAGTTTTCACAGTCACCTCTTGGTTGCGTGCAAGTTGGAGGCGCGCAACGCTACAGACTACATAGCAGTACTTAATGATCAGTTTTATGTATTATGCTTATCAGTTTTATTTTTAGTTTTCATGTATTATGTATGCATTTTTAAGTGTTATGTATGCAGGCATTAGGGATCAGCTTTCTGTACTCAGTATCATGTTAGTTTTTCACTTTAATATTCAGTTTTGTACTTATGTATGTATTATCCTGTCTGCAAGTACTACGAAAGAAAATGTAGGTGAATGGTTCAATTTGTAAAACAACTACAGTTTAAGTATGCGCAAAGAACTAAATTATGCAGGAATTTGTTATCTTAGTGATAACAGGTACCCATTCTTTTAAATGTTCTTACATAAGAGTCAGGCACATGGAAAGTAAACTGCGTTAAATTATGTTTGGGCGCTAGGATTTTTTTAATCATCTTTTAATCTCTCTCTCTTTATTTATTATTTTTTTATTTTTTATTTATTTATTATTATAATTTTTTAAGTTTACTATGTGCAATACTTTAATAGGTTACAACTTTCCTCCATGCAGGACCAACGATTTCACAGAAGCCCCATAAAGATATGACAGTTGTGTCAGGATAAGCACCCGCATGTAGACATTTAGCAAGTCCAGAAAATCCCCGGCAGTTAATTTTTCAGGCAGAGTCCTCCTATCTTTACTTTATCTAACACAAGTTTCTGTCTATTCTAACAGCGATTCTTAACAGTCTTTTGATTGCTTCTTTGCTTAATTTTAAGTAGTTCCTAACAGGATACTCTTTCCCCGTACAACACATCCAAGCTTATATGTAGACTTTATGAGGCTCTTAGCCGTCTATTCGGCTGCGTTCCCGGAGCAGGATGGAGCAGAGAGTAGATGGTTTCTGCCAGGAAGATAACACACTGTGAGGCTAAGGCCAGGTCAGTGGTCTTCCTTGGTGGCGCTCACTCAGTCACCTTCTTCGTTTACTGTAGAGTATTATGTGGTACCTTTAAGAGTCACTACACACAAATTAAATTTTCCTCAATCTAACCTCAAAGTAACATCTGCGTTGTGTGAAAAATGGAGTAACCCTTATTTCTAATTAAGACTGGTGAAAGGTCATATGTAATAAATAATACATGGTAATAAACACATACAACCTTTATCCCATATATAAAACTTAAATTTTATTAAATTTTCTTAAAGTGGAAGGTAAACAATTATTAAAACAATGAGTTTCAAGATTAATTTTTTAAAATGTCTCCGGGGAGATTAATTATTAATAACACAATTTAATTCTACGTACATAATGATTTCTTTAACAGTTTCATACTAAATTTGGTGAAAATTTCCCAACCACAGATTAGTTTAACCTAAATATTGCACTAGTTCATTTTTATAGATTGCACTTTTCATATCAAAACTACTCAATGTATGAAAACAATTTAGATGATATTTAGCATTTTCATCAGAAAAATTTCATTGATATAATACACAGCTCTAGATCGATTGAAGACACATTAAATAATAAGCTTTGCATTAGAGAAGAGCTACCACTAAGTTTTCTTTGGTGTACAATAATTTACTGATTAGTTATGTTTTTATAATCTCTGCAAGTTACTGAATATAAATATAAATTTTCTTAAACTGATCAGAATTTAGTAAAGAAGAAATTTTTCATCTTAATATGGCTGGAAAAGCTTAACTACCATTACTGGATGATTACGGAACAAAACAGAAAAACATAAAATTTTTAACTTATCTGCATCCTTTGAAAAAAAAAATCCTAACTATGTCATCGGAGCCGACTGAGACTGAAGGTGAGAAACAAGGCGGCCTCCCTCCGAGATCCAAGTAGGAAAGAGAGAAACAACAATCAGTTGGTGTTGATTAGACTAGGGTGCTTAATCAGATGGTGTTGATTTTTTAGGAAGTCCTCCATCACTGGAATTGTTGAAAAAAATGAAGAATCACTCCCGTCTCCCTGATTAGATGAAAAGTCTCCCTGATTAGATGGAAACGGGAACAGGTCCAACC